AGCAACTGCAGCAGCAGCAGCAAGTGCAGCAGCAGCAGTAACAGCAGCAGCAGCAACTGCAGCAGCAGCAGCAACTGCAGCAGCAGCAGAAACTGCAGCAGCAGCAACTGCAGCAGCAGCAGTAACTGCAGCTCCCTTTGATGCTGTTAATCCTTCATAATGCACATGCATATGCAGTACTAATCACATTCCTGCATTTCCCATAAATATGCTAAATTCCCTTTGATATGCAAATTCCTTTGTCAATGCGCCCAGCTTATATATATGCTCCAAGCTCGTGTGCTGTTTCATTCAGACTCTGTCGCCTCGACGGACCTGGTTTTCACCTGAGGACGGCTGCTTGCGTTGTGGCCGAAACGTCGTGAGAATTGTTTTATTATGTTTTATTTTTATTATTTTATTACTTCCCTTCTACGTGACTTTACCAAAAGAACCAAGAAGATGAATCCCTGCAGTCACGAAAGCTTTAAATCAGGAGGTTCAAGTTCATTTATTAGGTATAGCCCTGTAAGCCATTCGGCTCTTGAATCGGGTGCAACCGCAACAAACAAAAAACAAAAACATGAACAAGAAAACATCTTAAAGTGAATATGTGACTAAGTGCAAACAGAAAATCCAAGAAAAGACAGCAAAATTGTCTCGGCCTCGCTGTGCGCTGCGTTGCACTGCTAGCTGAGTAGTTAACCTCGCGTCCAATAAACCCTCAGAGCCAGGATGAACGTCCGACTCCAAACGTCATTTATTGAATTTAACGAGGTTAACTACTCAGCTAGCCATCCAACGCAGCGCACAGCGAGGCTGAGGCAGTAAAAAGACAATGCTTCTTAAAGTCCCACAATGGACAATTGCGGCTGGCTTCACTGGGACGCGATTTGTGCCGCCATCTTGAATTATGTGTGTAATGACCAACGCCCGCGTGGTTGAGCGGGAATCTTAAATCGCAACTTCCTGGTCACGTGACCAAACTTAGCATCAAAAACAGGAAATTCCTGTGTACATACGCCCCCCCCCCCCCCATCTGCCGTGAGGCAAAACCCCTGCCATGAGGCAGAACAAAATATTGCAGTAAAAAAACACCGTACACCAACGCTGTGTGCAAAAATCCCAGTGGGATGCAAGTCAAACAACAACAACCACAAGACAACTTAGATTAAGGCCATCAGTCTTACTCTGTACTACAACAAACATACGTGGCCAAACCAGTAAACTTTTCGAAATCACCAAAATAAAGCAATGAAACAGTGATCATAGGAACTGTGACGGAATTTTCACAATAAACGACAAACAACATGTACTACTAAAACCCTGCAGCCATAGCTGGCTGCATGAGTCACTCCACAACAGCAGGAGCATCAATCGGAGTATTATAATTGTTCAATGCACCTTTAAGATCAGCACACTAAATAAAAACACAGGTCATACTTTGCAGCGATCATCCGGAGCGAAACATTTTATTTTAGGCCACTGAATCGCACTGGCAGCTAGGGGTGGACAACTCCTCTAGAGCAGTTTTGAGTGAAGATCTCATAGGTAGTGACTCAAGTTGCAATTTATTGGCAATAGCATTCCAGACCCTGGGGGCATCAATAGCAAAGGCCCTTCCTCCAGTATTTGTACGGCAATAGGTAATATGAAGCTGGTAAATGAGTGTAGACCTTAGGTCAAATTTGTTATTTGAAACAGAGAGGAGATCCAGCAGGTAATCTGCGGATTTTTTTTGTAAGTACATCATGAATCAATAAGATCTGGTGCACAAGCCGTCGAACATTCAGAGATGTTAAGTTTGACCCAATGTAGGCTCCTACCAGTATAAAATATATCATGAGTAGCTGTGACCAGGCCCATAAACGAGTTCTGAATGGTTTATTTGGATGAATATAATCGTTAGTTAATGTTCAAGAGTGTAGTTCTAAGGTGGTTATGTTGACAGTGAAGGATGTTAGTATTGGTTAATATTCTTATTCTACCTTTACAGTATATAGTAGGTAAATAGGGGGTTGTAAAATGGACAGTAGTGTTTTGGCGCATGTGCTGTAACATGTGCGCTGAGAGTTGAGCGTGGCATTCCCCTATGTACAGATTTCGAGTTGGAGATTGAGAATGAAAGCCAATCTACCCTGGAGAAGTCTTCACGTCCATTGTTGTGTGAATGTCCACCATCGAGTTAATTTAAAAACTCATTCTAAATTACTGAACTGGATATAGATGCTGTACATTTCGGAAGTGCAACACAGGCACTCCTCATAAACACGCGAATGCAGGTAAGGGTTCCAGTGCTTTTATTAGTACACACAAAGCTCCCTCCTTCATCTGCAGCTCTCTCTCCCCCGTCACTCCTCCGACGTGCCCTCTTCTCCCCACGGTACCCTCTCTCATTCCCTCCTCTCACCCATGTCTCATCATGCCAAAAACCACTTAAAAGTTAATGATATTGTCCTTGTTACTTTTTATGTTGACAGTTGTTTCACCAATGCTTTAACTTGTAGCAAGATGTTTTATTGAACTGCCGTCTTCCAATTTATGTATAATATCCAGTTTCTGATTGAAAGTTAACACAATACGCTTTCGTTTCTCTGCCATCGCACGGTTTCGTAAATGAAAACTCACAAAATAAATTATCGGATAAATCACTCAAAATGAAGCACAATTTTCGATTTTGAGTATTACTCTTTAAATTTAGAACTAATACGATCGACCGATCAATGCACGTGCTCAGTGATAACAATCTCCTGCTTCCGCGAAGAAGATTCTGCCCCCTAAGTATACAGCAGAGCCACGGCAATCAAAATCAAACTCCACCCACTCTTGTAAAGATATGCAACTACTGTACTATAGGGGCGATCACGTTCATTTCGGATTAACCGGAGCACATATTTGTTCGGTTTAAGCACGTGACTTGTAATAAACATTTCCAAGAATAACAATGTACAACTGTTTTTAGATTATTAATTTGGGCTTAAAGGAAAATCATTGAGTTTTTAATGCATGTTAATCTCAGGTGCGTGGTTAATCCGCAAATTGGATAAACTGCACGCGGATAATCGAGAGTACTATATAATAAGTATAACCCGTAAAAACAAAGTTTTTCACTCTAAATCTTTTATATGCGTGGCGGCTAGAGTCCCCTCGTCCTCTGGCTTGAGATGGCTGCCACCTATGGGTCAGATGATTGTCTGCAGTATTAAACAGTTGGTAATTAAATATAATATTTTTGTCCTATAAAGTGTAAATTTTGGAAAAATATTTTCACGGACATTAATTGTCACGCACAACGAATCTGTGTGGAAAATGTCAACTCGATTGGATCATGGGAAGTGGGTTAAAAAACGACCGAAAGATTTACACGGTCGTAAGCAAGCAAGCAAGCACGCAAGCAAGCAAGCAAGCGAACTTAATATAAAGGATTTTAAAAAAATGCCACATCTTGATTACTGCTCAAAACACATTAAAAATGTCATAGCTCAATCCATACTCGAACGCAGACACGTATTAAGAATGTAGCTCAATTACGGCTCAATCCAATCGACAGGTATTACAAATTTCATAGCTCGATCACTGCTTGCTTACTGCTCGAACACAGACAGGTATTCAAAATTTAATCGCTCGATCGGTACTCGATCGGTGCTCGATCAGTACTCGATCAGTACTCGATCAGACCTCAATTGGCCATTTTCAAGATTTTCCAATGTTAATAGTATTGCTTGCTGATTAAATGTCCTCACGTTTGAATTTTTTTGTTTGTCATGTTTTTTACATACGAAAATAAAAAAGTCTCATATCGATTGTAGTGATTGGTGTGTAGAGTTGAGTGTTTTAGTTGGTGATCGGCATGGTTGCTTGATAAATGGTGTGCTTATCAATTGGTTTCATTCCTTTTTTCTTGTTGCTGCTCCAAACTGGAGGTCGACATCAGATGTACGGTCGTCTCAGGGATAACATTGCAGTTTACTTTGCTACGAGATGGGAAGTAGTACCCCGACTCTCGCACAATGTCCGTGGTGCAGTAATTAGATCCTTTATATTAAGTTCGCTTGCTTGCTTGCGTGCTTGCTTGCTTACGGCCGTGCAAATCTTTCGGTCGTTTTTAACCCACTTCCCGTGATCCAATCGAGCTGCCATTTTGCACACAGACTCGTTGTGCGTGACAATTAATTTTACTGAAAAAAATTTCCACAATTTTACACTGTTTAGGGAAACATTTTAAAATATTTAATTACCAATTGCTTAATGGTGGCAGACAATCATCTGACCCATAGGTGGCAGCCATCTCAAGCCAGAGGACGAGAGGACTCGAGCCGCCCCGATGCCACACATATAAAGGATTTATAGTGAAAAACTTTGTTTTTACGGGTTATTTTTTTTTTAGTCTGTTGTTGGTCGGCGATGCGGCGATCAACTCATCTCGACGAGCTGTACACGATGCAATATGGAGCATCCGAGCGTATCAGGGTTTCAGCGCAATTGTCCTCGCTGCGTTTCGACATCGTGGAGTAGCACTGATTTCGGATTGATTGGTACCCCAGTCGCGGAGTTAAGTACACCCCTGGAAAAAAGTGTTCCAGATAAAACAAATTTAATTGCCTCGCCTATTTTGTATTATTTGGTACCCCGGGGTACCGCCATAAGGATCATATAATAGTGACACCCTTCCCACAAAGAAGTAAGTTCAGACGTGTTTTATTCACAAAATCTCCTCTAGCTGTTATCCCAATGTCCTAAGTTATATCTAATTGGTGCATTATGCTCGGCAATGCTGAGCTTATGTCTTCATGATTTCACAAGTTAGGCTTATGCTATCTGTGCAATTGCAATATCAGTCTTTTTCAGTTTCGAGCCACGTGATTTTAGCATCAGTTGGCGAATTATGAATACACTATTAGCACACGATTAGCACATGTAAGAAAACGAATATACATTTGTTGCATCGAGCCAAGTGAATGCTTAGCCAAGGACATAGCTTCAGCAAAACTTGGAAATAATTTGCAAATGGGTCATTCTGTTGGAAGCGGAGAGTTTATTGAAATCCAATCAAGTACATTTCACCTTTTAAGTAGTACAGGCAACAGTCAGTTAATCAGGAATATAATAAATCACAAAACTGCTTTCTATTGCTTTCAGAATTGTAAGGTTGTAGATTTCCACCGTATACGTGGATGTGTTCATTCAAATCCTGATTCCTCGAGGATACGTTGACATGCTCATGAAATATTAGGCGCGCAACAGTGCATCTTACTGCCTACTAAGCTGCAGGCTCTTTTGTGTACAAGTAAACAAAAACAAATGAGCTTACCTACAGTTCATTAAATTGATACGTGATTGTATATCATGAGCACAAATGCCCTATGGTCAGGGCAGTTCATAGGGGGGTGAAAGACCCAGGGCAAATCCCACCGTGGGTCCCCCGACGCTTTAAAAGGTAAACCTGAAGTATTACATCTGACACCCGTGACATCGAAGCGCAGGCCTTGGGCGGTCGCTCAAATTCGCTGTACCCTCGTGACAGATTTGCCTATGGTATGGAATTACATTTTCATTTTGTTTGTTTGTCCCATGGTCAAGAATAATAATGGATTGGCAGCCAAGCAGGATCGTGATAAGACACCAGTTTGGGGAAGGGCTTCATCCAGCAGTAGATTGACAATGGCTGGTGATGGTGAATGTCCATACTAATTTATGTTGGAAGAAATGGGTGGTTACGGGAATGCACGTTGAGATGCTGAACTGCCTTCCTCACAGAAACCTGGTAACACATGCCCTCTGGTGGCACGTAGCCGCAATCTCAGCCATCACCATCCTTGGACAAAGGTGGCCTTTCAAAAGGTAGCACTGTAAAGCAACATGGAGGATGTGTCCTGTATCATCATACTATTAAACGTAATATTTTGTCTCAGTTGATGCACATTACCAGTTAGGAATGTTCATGAACGGGGCAGGTTGTATTTATATACATGCATTGAGAGATGACAATTCCTACTTTCAGAGGTCCTGCAGTGGTGAGGAGAAATTTTCCATAATCCCATAGCAATAAATATGCCTAATTATGCCGTACTGAAGTGCAGTTTTGCTTTACTGTTACAAAATTATTGGCCATGCCATTTTGTTGGCTATGAAATCTTTAATTCTGATTAATGCATGATAATACTCTGAAATGTATTACATATTCTTTCGGTAAAGTCACGTAGATAGGTTATTCCTGCAGTCACGAAAGCTTTAAGTCATGATAAAAAATCCTTAATGTATTTAACATTAACATCAAGGGGCTTAATCTGGTACCGCTAAGATCTTGGGTTCAAACTCAGGTAATCACCTGGGATTCAACTGGGTCCTCAAGTGTAGCGAGTTTATGGTCTCATCCCGGTCACCATTGACTGCACATAAAACCATTAGAATGAATTTGCTTCTGCACTTAACTTGGATGAATTTCACCTTTGAGAATTAAAATACAGTGTGTTTTAAATGATGGACCCAATTTCAAAGCAGCATATTTCACGATGGCAACATGTTACAATTACACACAAAGTTACAAACGGTCTAATGAGTTATCAAGTTTTACTAACCATTTTATAAATGCTCTATGTGCCATCCACCTGCTGTACGGACAACATCGAGACGATAGTTGAATTCGTCCCAAACGCCTCTCTTCTCACGTTTTCCTCTGAGGTGCATGGTCGCCCTGTGCTCTTCCCCTTACATAAACAGCCTGTTTCCTTAAATTGTCAGTACCAATGAGGAATGCTCTTTGAGATTGGCGGATCAATGCCAAAACGCCGTTGAAACGCACGCTGCACCGCAATTATGGATTCAGTATTGCTGAACTGCAGAACGCAAAATGCCTTGTGTTGCAGGGTCACCATCTTGCGAATGACTGAGGCTAGGGGCTGTTTGTGCGATGGGAGAGGCATCTAGCGGTAATCATTTGAAACTCTATGCCCCGCCCTTTTAAGTGGTAAGAGTTTAATTCATAGGCAGTTCAAATCGGGTCAATATTTTTCAAACACCCTGTATATGTTTGATTGCTATGGGACAAACTATGCGGAGTGGGTGAGAAAGTGCTGCCCTCTGCTGTGTAGGCCAAAGGAGTGAGGTATGAGTGAACTCTCCCTTGCAATTTTGTTACAAAAAAACATACCTTATAGCACACATCCAAACTATAGTTGCACGAGCCCTATTGTGCATGCATTAACTGCATTTCACAGACGTAAGTTATTTGCTCATGTAAAGCACTGAGAGGAAAACAACCTTTAAAAGGCACAAGACCAGTACAGAATTGCTGACTGAAGGTTCTGTTTGCAATAGTTATTTTGGTTGATGGATATGGTTGGTGGATAGTTTTTTGTGACTGTTGTTGGAGATTATTGCTGATAGTGTCATAACGTCGCCGATTTTTTGGTGAGTGTGTTGAGTTTTTGTTGTATTATCACGTATGGCTGTGGGAAAAATGGTTGTAATTGGTGTTTGCGGTTTGTAGCTGCTAACGGTGGTTCTCCCCTGGACACCAGTGACGTCAAACTGCTGCCAGCTGCTGCAGAATCTCGTCCATAATTCCAGCCAGGAGCTCGCTCTCTTCCAGAGGCATTACGCGACTCTCCGTAAGACCTGCACTCACCACGGAGCAGACATTCACTATTATAGGTGTAGGACTTTAAATGACACGCGCCACGTGTTTGGTTGCGATGCGAGCGTGCAGAGTACAGTGGGTGCAACTGAGGATATACAGTTGTTGTTGTGCCAATTAAGGGGTGAGGTCATAAGAGACGCCACAGGTGTTAAGGGTAACTGAGAACGCAGGTCGGTGATTGGTCGAGAGGGTGAGTGATTGATGACTGGGTAGGGGTGGCGACGATAACAGGATCACGTGAGGCTGGGGGCCTGGGGGCGAGTAGCGAAGCGGGGGATGACATAATAAATTGGGGCTGATTGGTTCGGGGATAAAGGCAGTGAGCGTATGGAGATACGGGAGTCATTGTTAGGGTTGGAGTCGCAGTTGGAGTTAGCGTTGGAGTTGGTGCCTGGACAAGAATGTATTGTATAAGGTAGCAGTGGATAAGAGTGGATAGTATGAGGTAGCAGTGGACAAAGAGAATACAGTATACGGTAGCAGTGGATATAGAGAGTATGGACAGAGTAGCAAGGACGGAGCGAGTACAGCGTAGCGAAGAAGCGGAGTAACGGAGCTTGGTACAGAGAGAGATGGAGAGTTGTGCATTGAAGAGCATGGAGAAACATTGAGTGATGCTGTCGGAGATGTGAACTATATGCGGAATAAAAGGAATGAGAAAGACAAAGAAGTTGTCACGTCAGTAAGAGTCCTACATAGGTACCATATGACTGTAAATCGCCATTCTAACAACCAAGGGATTAACAAAGCAGGCATTTAGGACAGATTGAGAGTTCTCCTGCTTGTTATGAGCATCAGAAGCAAGATCTGGGTTGACTTGGGAAACTTTCAAAAATCCTCAAATACACTGGTTCTAAAGGTACAGTACAGTAAAGCAAACAGAATTGTGAATACAGGACAGAACCCACCTGAAGCAATACAACTAGATGTAAAAACAGGCAAAACAACCCGTATACTCACAGGTTGAGAAGGTGAATGACCCGATCTCTTGGAAACTTTTTTTTCTACAGCACATATTATGTTACTACAACTTTAGTGTGAATGTGACATGGACTGGGTCATACAATGCATGCCCTTCAGTGATTCCTTTTTTTTTTTATAGAGGAATCACATACTAATTGACTGGTTACTAATCTATTATATAATTACAATACCCCCCCTCCTCCGCCTCTGATCTCTGCACCTGATGGGGTTCAGTGATGCCATCGTCCTGCTGCTGCTCTAATTAAGACCGGAAGCAGGTGGATGGCTTCACTATTCTGGTAAATCACCCGATGATGCTGGATGTAATTACCAGCGAAACCTTGTACTCAGATTGTAAATGTTGTGTAATCACTCTTCAACACACCGGTTGGCTGAAGTAGTAACTATTTGGCATTTTGTTTACATAACAAATCCCTTACTCATTGGCCGTGTCGGGTGGTGGAAGGTTTCGACACATTTATACTTAGGCGATCTAACCCAAAAACCTTTATTATGAATAATATTGGTCGCGAAAGCCTTCACACTTATCAACATCACACCTGAAACTATAATCGTGGATACCTGTGTCTGATGTGTTACTCAGCTGCCTTGGAACTTTCAGAAGGCCAACTGAAGCCTGACTATGAAAATAAATTGAGGCCCAATAGAAGCCCGAAAACTTTGGTAACTTATTTGAAATTTTTACATCTGCTGCAGAAAAAAATCCCAAGGGGGTCACTGCAGGAATGTCTATACACCAAGTTGGCAACCAGAAACAGAGCAACTCTTGAAAGAGTTCATCAGAACTGTTGACCAATGAGGGTACTGCACTGTTGGAGTCCTTGCACTCTGAATGAAGAAAGTATTGGGAAGACGTTACTAAAGAATTGTACATCACTCACTCTAGCCTCAAGCCATGTGGGCAACACTTGAACCTAGTTGCTTCAAAACCAACAGAACACAGACTGCCAGAAATCCCCAAAAAAGAATGTGGCTTTTCACACCCTGCTGTCTTGTTCAGAGAAACAACACATTGGTCCGACTACCACAATAACAGACCTAGCAAGACCATACGCTGAAGAAGAAGCAGCCCCCAGGGCCACAAAATCAAAGGAGGCACCGATATATGATGGCCTATGTTCTGAGTTGCAGAAGTACCTGCGACTATATGGACAACAATGGCTGGCAAACCTCTTTACCGTCATACACTGAATGGGGAAAATCCCAAAAGCATGGAAGCCAAAGTCATTGCCATCCGAAAACCCCACAAAATCTGCAAGACTCGCCCTCCAGCTACCGGGCCAATACAGTGATACCTCGGTTCACGAACGCTTCTGTTCACGAACAGAAAAGTTCATAAAAATATGCTCCGGTTCACGAACTCCACTTCGGTTCATGAACAGGAGCCGCGGCCATTTTAATGCTATTTCCAGGTTGTCACATGGTCGTGACTTCCTGTAGGAAGATCGTGGAGAGAAGAAGAGACACAGAAAGAAGTACTCTGAGTACTGTGAAGACACTTTCAGTGACTTTTTGCTTTTTGGTGTGCTTTTTAGCACATACAGTACTGTACTGTACTACTGTACTGTACAATACTGTACTTACTGTATTGTACAGTTCACCCGTTTGAGTGCTTACTAAAGTCATCTCAAGCAAGGTTAGTGTTCTCTCTTTATACATTACTATACTGTACAGTACTAATGTGTATTGTAATTTGTTTCATATTTTTGTGCTTCAAAAACCAAAAAAAAAGGTCAGAACGAATTAACCGGATTTACATTGAACCCTATGAGAAAATGTGCCTCGGTTCACGACCAATTCGGTTCGCGACCAGAGTCAGTTCACGAATTAAGTTCGTGAACCGAGGTATCACTGTATCTCTCTTGTCCTGCACCTCCAAGCCTTACTTGATTTCCCCCATTATCAACCCCCAACTGCCTCCCAAACAGTCCCGATTTCAAACTGGCTGTAGCTGCTGCGAACAGACCTTTGCCTTCGCCACTCTCATAGAAGCTGCTTTACAGTGTCGGCAGAAAATGGCAGAGCCATGACGCTGCTTGGCATTATGGCCTGCTGCTGAAATAGGCCAAAATCATCAGATGCATTCGTTCCTTCAAAGGAGAAATAGCTCAACTACACAACTTTCTCTTGAAGTCCTCTTGTCATGGCTAGCAGACCTCGACATTGGCATTAAGCTGCTGAACATATTTCCATCATGCACAAGAATAGAAAAAAGAATGTGATACTGAAGCCGGATCAAGTTTGGGCCTCATGCTTGGAGTTCAAGGCTGTGATTCTGGAGCGAGCACGTACCCTGCAGGAGGCAGCGGCGGACCTCAGCAGCCTCGTATCTCATGCCGGTGCTAGTTATGAAGTTGAGTGGTATGGACGGTGGGGGCAGCACAAATTCCTTCTCCTCTCCATTGATTATCACTTTCGATGGACTCCACATCGTATCAGGGATCTAAAGACACAGCAAGCACACACCACTATGTTAATGCGGTTCATTTTGATAACTTTCCGATTCCAGTAAAAACACGATGCATTAGCTTTGCATTCATAAGCTTTGTCCATCTGTCTAGAATGGGGTCAACTCTGATATGATTTAGATTTTTCAAAATTAAAATTAAGAGGCATCTCTGATTAACCGGGCATTGGGCAGATGGCCCTGAGCCAGCGAAGGAAATTCCACATTCATATTGTGGGGATCAGTCCCTCAACTGCAAACCCACTTTTAATCTTCCCATTGAGTGTTTTACTAATTTTGTAAGGGCAATGGGCTGAGTAAAATCCTGACTGTATTTGAACATGCAACCTTTTCAATTCCATTTTAAGTGCTGTACAAAAATGGCACCCAACAGTACAGTACAGTATATCTTGCTCATAAACTATAATACAATAGACTGAGTTCATAAACCTAAATATCCACAGCAATGGGTTACGTGTTGGTTGCATTCCCAACTGTAATGCTCTATGCAGGACTGGTACCTTGATTGAACCCTTGGTGCCAAAGATGCAGGCCTCATTGGCTAGCTTGTATGCGGAGCTGCAGGTGAAGATGCCCATGCGCTTTCGTGAGTACTTGAGCACCACCGTCACAGTCTCATCAACACCTGCCAGACCACGCACAACCTGTTAAACTAGAACAACAATGTCCAACACATTACACAGTGCACATCCGTGAAAGAAAGGACTAAATTGTAATATTTGGAGGCTTGTGACGAATTTGAGGAGACAATAAAATCCACATTTGATATTCCATTCTCAAGTAATGCATGCATGCATTACTTGAGAATGATGACCTGTTCGGGTGAAACTCGCTACCTCATAACACATTACTTGAGACTATAAAAACATAGGAGCTACTCGCTGCCACTGATTGTGATGCCAGGTGTGATAGCTGATCGATGCCTGAGTGCGGTCCAAGGACGGCTCTCTATTGGTCAACCATATGTATGCGGATGATCTGGTGATTGATGCCCACTCTGAGAAGGAGTTGAACCTTCTACTGCTAAACCTGGAGCATGCTACTAAGATATGGGGCCCCACGATCAGCCCCACAAAAACAAAGTATCTGCCTGGGTATTTTATGTCATTAAATGCTCCCCTCCCTCAACTCCCATTGTGTGATGGGACAGTTGTGAAGAGATTGGAGAAGTTTCCATTCATGGGCAGCATGCTTATGATAAGCTCAGGTTTGGTAGCCGAGGTCTTACTCTGAATCCGTCTATCAGCATTATCTTTTCATTGGCTGCGTTAACCTTGTGCGGAAGCTATCTGGCCTGTCGCTTCATACAAAGCTCCAGGTCTTCAGTCAAGCGGCATTATCGTTTCATTGGCTGCATAACCGTGTGGAAGCTACCTGGCCTGTTGCTTCATACAAAGCTCCAGGTCTTCAGTCAAGCGGCATTATCGTTTCATTGGCTGCATAACCCTGTGTGGAAGCTACCTGGCCTGTCACATCATACAAAGCTCCAGCTCTTCTCGGCCACAGTTATGCCCTCCCGTATTTATGCTTGTAAGATGTGGAGCCCTCTAAAGCAACATCTGCATCAAGTTTAAAACATTCAGGCAAGCCTGCCTACAATCCATCTTGGGTTTAACCAGATGGATTGTGTGAGGCACTCACAGATCCTTGAAAGATATCGACAAAGTCCCATCAGTGAGCTTATTTGGCAAGTGAGACTGCGTTGGCTGGGTCATGTAGCCCGCAAGCCCAACCACCACATTCCCAAACAGCTTCTCTTTTGGCCGGATAGATGGTGCTAAACAAGAGATGGACTGATATGGTACAGAAAAATGTTGAGTTGATTTGACTTGCCGATGACTGGTACCAGCATTGTCAAGATCGGCCTCTCTGGAAGAGGTTCGTGAAGTACGCTACTGGGGAGTTGGAGGCGGTCGCTCTCCAGCAACAAAGGAGGGCAGAAGAGCCGCGCTCACAACAACGAGCAGAGCGCCGGGTGGCTAAAATGCAGAAAGTTGGCATCGTGGGAAGCACAGTTTGTGGATCTGCCAGTCATCTCAGTTAGCCCACCCGTGGCACCTGGGTCCGTTCCGTGACTTCCTGCCAGCGGGACTTCGACACTTCATGTGGCATGAAAGTGTACCTAGCATGGCACAAGCGCCGTGATGACATCACCAGCACTTAGTGACAATCGGCGGTTGTTCTTATAGAGCCAAGCACCTATTGGGAGCTTTAGTGGCATAGATCTATTTTTTTTCAGGAATATATTATTGTTCGGCCTGAAGTAGACTGTGTGTTTACAGTATTTGTGCCTGGGGCCCAGGATTAGTTTAACTATCATTCGGGGATTATCATTTTAGCAGAATCAGGTGGTGATAAAATGCAGTTTACACTTTCTTTAAGCAAATTAATTGATTATGAATTGTAAGCTTTTTTCAATGATCATTTTGTGTAAGAGGCATAACCATTAATACCGTATTGTGATGTCTGTAAATAGTTTTACAATGACAATGAATCTGTAATAATAAAAAAGTGTGAATCCTGATTGGAAAATCTGGCTATCAGTGTCCCAGAGAATATGTCTTTTTCTAAACTGAGAACACGCACACACAAAACTTCACACAGAGAGCTCAAAATCCTGTGTGTTGTTTTTTTGCGCAACACTTTGGTGTCCTGCAGGTGAGTGTCTCACACGTGATGCATTGTGTACAAATCTTATTTACAGTAAGCGGCACAAACCGTTTGCGTTGAGAAATCCAGAGGCATGTATGGACAGTGGGCGCTCGGCGCCGAACGCCATGGAGATGAACTGCAGGCAGTAGCAGCCGATGTCGAGCAGGGCTCCTCCACCCAGCTCAGGTTCCACCACGCGACGCACGTTCAACATCCTCACCCCGAACTCCGTGCGTACCACTTGCACTTCTCCCACCTGGCCCTCCGCCAGCGCTGCTCGCACCTCATCGTACGCGGGGAAGAAGCGCGACCAGAAGGCCTGGGTGGACAGCATCATGGAGGGGGGTGCAGGAAGGAGAGTAGAATGGAGAATACGGTCAGGGAGCCACGGAAAATTATGAAATGGTAGGAAAATGGATGCAGCAACAGCTCAGCCCTCGTGTATTATTATCGCCACATTACAAGTACAACAATACCTCGGAAACCGCGGGGGTAACATTCCTGAAAACCGCGGTTGGCAATACTAAGGCCTTATGGGAAATAAGGATTTAGAACAACCTCGGCCATGGTCACACTCATCTAAGCCTAACCAAATTCTCTATTCCTTCACTACGATGACATGGATGAGGATGAGGTAATGGTGGTTAAGTGCTGTGATCTGTGCCCACGCCTGTGTTGAGATGGCTATGGGTTGGGTGCTTTGTGTGCGATTGGAGGGTCGAGCCGGTTTGTTGTGTATGTGGACGCACACCCACATACCCAACAGGGAGTGAGGTCATTAAGTAACAACTGGTTTTAATAATGGAATAATTCACTGGTCAACAAAAAAAAATTCTGGCCTGGACTTTTGCAGCTGTTTTAGACTAATTTCAGGGTGCTGATTCCAAATCTGATCTCAGATTTGCTCTATCACATCTCATTTTTATGCTATCGGCATACCCCATTTTCATTGATTTTACCCGAAATTAACTCTGTCACTTATGATTGCAAGTTGTTGCGAGTCAGTGACTGCTTTAGTGTTAAAATATGGTGCTGTATTTTTAGGATAGTGTGTTTATAATATAATTTTATGTAGATATCCACATTTATTTAATATTTTTATTCTGCAGTTTTTATTGAAAATGCAATGTTTTATATCTCAAAAACCTGATGTGATAGACAAAAACTGATGCCAGATTTGGAATCAGCACCCCAAAATTACCTTAAACCGTTGGAATACCTTATGCCAGAAAAAGTGTGTTGACCAGTGTTATAATTAAAGGAGTACTCTCTGACTACATAGAGAGGGCTGAGCCAGAGCTCAAAAAAGCTCTTGGGGGATGGGTGAGCTGATGCCTTGGGCGCGGCTGAGCAGCTCTCTGCTATATTTTAAGCCGTTTTTAAATCCTTTATATTAAGTTCGCTTGCTTGCTTGCTTGCGTGCTTGCTTGCGTGCTTGCTTGCTTGCTTACGACCGTGCAAATCTTTCGGTCGTTTTTTAACCCCCTTCCCGTGATCCAATCGAGCTGACATTTTCCACACAGACTTGTTGTGCGAGACAATTAATGGTCGTGAAAAAAAAATTCCCAAAATGTTACACTTTTTAGGCAAAAAAAATGTATTTTACATATATTCAAATAGAACTCATTCATGGCTTTGGCTGAACGTCACAGTGTAAGAGCCCAGAGCGTAACCCCTCCACAGGCCGTGGCGGAGTAGCGCAGTTGGTAGCGCCCTTGCTTCCCATGCCAAAAGTCGCGGGATCGATCCCCGCGTCCTCCACAGGCGAATATATTTTTAAATCCTTTATATTAAGTTCGCTTGCTTGCTTAGGACCGTGCAAATCTTTCGCTCGTTTTTTAACCCACTTCCCGTGATCCAATCGAGCTGACATTTTCCACACAGACTCGTTGTGTGTGACAATTAAGTTCGTGAAAAAAATTCCAAAATTTTACACTGTTTAGGGAAAACAAATTAAATATTTAATTACCAATTGCTTAATGGTGGCAGACAATCATCTGACCCATAGGTGGCAGCCATCTCAAGCCAGAGGACGAGAAGACTCTAGCCGCCACGCATATAAAGGATTTATAGTGAAAAACTTTGTTTTTACGGGTTTACTTGTTAGGATATTCTTTGGGTCTTTTGGTAAAGCCACGTAGATAAAACACGTAATAAAAGATAAAAATAATAACAATATCGCAACGTTTCGATCGCAACACAAGCAATCGTCATCAGGTGAAAAATATAGCGGGAGAGCTGCTGGGAATGTATATGAATTCCTGCAATCACGAAAGCTTTAAGTCTGTTTTTAGAAAAACGTTTACATTATTTTAAATAAATAATACCTTATGAATATCGAACCTGCTGTGGCCGCTCCAGTGAACTCTTGAGCCTCACCACCTTATGGCACAAGGAAGAGGGGCTTTGCCCACCCTCGTGGATTCAGGCTTAGAGGCCATGATTAAGGGCAATATTAATGCAAATAAATAATAATTAAAGGTCAAGAAACGTGGAATAATGCATAGCAATAAGACGTCCACACACTACAAGAATCACTATGTGAGAGAGAGTGTTGTTGGTGGGAAGAGAGCGGTGGTGGCAGCTGGGAGATGAGATGATGCACGGAGGCAACGCATATGTGGGTAAATTAAAATCATAAGTGCCGGTCGCCGTGCTAAACTGCGGACACACAAAAAAATTGGTATGCCGAAGGAAAACCATGAATACATAAATACCGCAGATGCGAAAATCGTGGTTGGTGAGGGATTGCTGTTTTAAATGTATCTTCAAAGTGTCATGTAAAATTGCAAAACAGCACAATACAGCATTTGTTGCTGTACGCACGACCATCGCCAGTGGCAGGAAGTTGGCATTTATGAGCGAGCGAGGATAAGCAATGATGAGGTGGGAGCAGTTGGTGTTTAGCACCTCCATGAGGAAGCGGCGAGTGCTGCGTGCTGTGGCGGTGAGTTCCTTCGTCTGCGCCAGGGTCATGGTGAGCGGTTTCTCACACATCACATGTTTTCCCGCACGCAGCATCATCAAGGTCAGAGGGGAGTGCTGTGGGTGGATGGCGCCCACGTACACTACATCTGCAGGAGGCATTGGACACAGCACACCGGTCACACATGGCACACGGATTCAGGTGAGTGCAATTTCCGTTTAAGTTGTTTGGATAAAGGTAAATCTATATTTTAATCTGTCCAGCAGTGAAGATGTACAGAAAAGCACTGTACACTACGTGTATCTGCGTCCAGAGCAGTGGCATAGCGAATGCCATACTGTATGTTGCACACTCGAAATGAAGGACCTGGGCAGGTGCTCCAAATCGAGGGCAAACACATTTATTGTGGTCAATCTGTAAAATGCAACAGCACGTGTGTCACACACAGCAATCCTCAACCGAGTCGCCATTAACCATGTGACTGGTGTCCAAGTCCGGTTAACTATTAACAGTTTTCTCTGAAACCCACTTCTACTACTGATAAACCATCTTTGTTTTTGACAATTAAATTTGCACTTCACTATTCGAATATTACTTTAATCCAAAGCTGTATGTCTATCTATACCATCCACTTATATCGGTATCTTACACCCATTATCTGTACTGTATGTGTACAGTATACGTACTGTACTTGTCACCATAGTACCACTTACTACTGTACATGTGTTCGATTCTCAATAGCATTGCAAGTAGTCATACTCTGGGTGCATGGGACATGGTTATAGAATAAACAGTATTAGGGTTAGAGAATTAAGAATTAAAAGTATTAACTATAGTACGTCATCCTTTACAGTGCACAGTGCTAAAACCCCTCCAATTGAATATATCACAAACTAACAATTCAAAGCCAAGCTTGAAGTCTAGAACAAGTTTAGAACAAGTCTAGAGCATTTCTATAACGATCAAAAACAACATTTGGGTCCTTTACTTGTAAAATGCAACAGCACGTAGTGTCACACACAGCAATCCTCAACCGAGTCGCCATTAACCACGTGACTGGTGTACAAGTGCGGTTAATCAATAACCCTTCCAGCCACCCACAGGCCCAACTCAGTCATCACATGCTGCTGCACACACATGCATTGATGCACTGTACAGCACATCAGGACTTTCACAGAACCACACTTTACTCCTTTGCTGCACAATGAAATAATTAAAAGAGTGGTCCCTTCCTAATGTGCCACATGTATTATTAAATAAATGACCCAAGATTGATATCCAGCAAGGAATTATCTCCAGTTGTACATGGTATCAACCTATCTTGCGCCTCACCGAGATAAACTCGCCATTAACCGAGTGCCTGCTGCCATGTGTAAATCCCAGTACTGGAGAGACAGGTTCACCCAAAGCTCCTCGTCTGCTTACCCATGTCGGGGTCGGCTGCCAGCTCTTCATAGGAGCCATATGCGCGTGCTATGCCATGCCGTGTCGCAAACTCCTGTGCACGCTCCTTGTCACGAGCTGCCACAGCCACCACCTGCAGAGAGATGGGGGCGACAGGGCAGCAGTGATGGCGTGGGGGTTATTGTCATGCTTGTGTTTGGGAAAGGGGCTTAATTTTTTTTATTGCTTCTGACTTTGGAGTTTTGAGTCAATATTATACTGATGGTTTGTGATTTTAAGCTAATGTAGTCCATATTTTATATTTTATACTATGTGTTTGTTATATAGTGCATACATTCAGCATTGCATGTTGAATTAGTAACCCGTCGCCATAGGCACCGTAATGTGCATTCAGTTTCAACTTGGGTCATCATTACCTATGTTCAGAGTGAAAATGTCAAGAGCTCATCACAGCCAATGCAGCTGATAATAACACACCTCGCCATCAATAATAATACACCCCTGTTGATGCAAAGTTGACACTTGCCATACAAGGTCTGCTCTTACAGTACCTCAACAACTGCCACTTGGACTCTAACCTCTGGGTGATCCCATACTAGCTTGTATTGGTAACAGTCCCTATTCTGCCCTGCACATGTGGCTCCTATTTCAACCTCCCCTTCCAGATTTACATGTACACCGCATTTATTTTCACATTCTACCAAGAATTTCAAAGTTGCTTACCCTATCCCAGGGGTCGGCAACCAAAATAACAAGAAGAGCCATTTCTTTCCAATTCGGTACAAAATTCAGTATTTCAAGAGCCGCAATGCATCTGAGTACATACTGTACATACGTACATGTCGTCAAGAAGCAGCCCGTAAAGAGCCGCATGCGGCTCCGGAGCCGTAGGTTGCCGACCCCTGCCCTATCCTATTAAATATATAGTATCCTCGACATGCACCTGCTTTCAGAGTTCAGAAGATCACGTATTTACGTCAGTTTCTCAGAACTGTCGAGTAAAAGGGACATTTCTTGTACCTCAACAGCTCTTTATGGACACTAACGTTTACCCACACTACACCACCACTTCTGCATCTTCCGATTGTCCGTGGATTTTTGTGCACATGACGAATTGATTAGAAAATTATTCTGTTTCACTTTATTGTAATGATAAAAAGACTTTGATATAAATGTTTTGAAAGGATAACATAAAACAATTGAAAAGTTATCTCATCCATGAATGTTGCTTGTCTGAACAGTCTTCCCAGGCAGTCATAGATAAGATGTTAACATTTTTTTTATTAATGTTGAAATCACACTGGTGCAGTGAAAACAAATGCACTTGATATGCGTGATATAGAATGCATACACCACTTCACCTGTACCTTTCTTGCATTGAAGAAAGGTTTCTAGTCATCATTATACTACATTTCGACCATTATTCTGCCACATTTTGGGAGAACAAAAGGCCGATTTTGCACAATGTCAGCCCGATTTCCACTTTTTGCTCTTCAAGTTCCAGGTCCTTGCATATACGAGGGGATCGGGCGCATTAAGCTAGGCAGAAGGATTCTCCAGCGATTGAAGAGGTGAAGAAGAGCCATGGAAAATGTACTTTCACCCAATGGCAGAGCCAGGATTTTCAGGTAGGGGGGGCAACCTCTCCAGCAATGAAAAATGATAGGAGTTGTTAGTACGTAAGGACTTGTCCCTTGCTTTTTATTCAACGCGTGTGCGGCAATGGCGCAGCCAGCGATCGAAGGTCGAATTCGAACCATGTGTGATCGGCATCATGCTCGCTAAAGGTATGCCGAAAGGGAAGTCGTGTACTGTATACGCAACTACGCACAATTTTGTGAGTCACTTATAACTGCTTTGCCAGGTACTTATTGCCAATTATAGACTCAGACTATTGTCCTATCATCTCATAGAGTCGCTGACATGTAATAATATTCTACACAGTGGCAGTGGGGGTCGCAAAATGCCGATTTATTACTAACTAGCTTTACTACCCAACTTCGCCCGGGACTTGGATTTACCACGCCTGCCCCCCCCCACTGGCTCCGCCACTACTTTCACCCCTGTGAGAGTATTTGCATATACATTGCGTGCCGTGATGGACACTGAGCAGAGATAATCCCAATTAGAGAGGAGACTTTTGCCATCACTGACTGCCGCAACAAGTTTCATGACTATATCTTCGGCAGAGCAGTCACAGTGGAAAGTGACCACAAACCGATGAAGTCTATTTTCAAGAAGCCCTCACTCTTGGTCCCAATGAGGCTACAGTTAAGGCTGCTCCAACTGCAGCCTTACAATTTGTCAGTGACCTACAAGCCAGGGACAGAGCTTCCAATCAGTGATGCGCTCAGTTGGGCAGACCTACCAGAAGCAGTGGCAGACATTGAGATAGCGCACATCAACATGATTTACTATGTCACAGTAACCCCATCCTACTACACCCATTTCCCAAAAAGCACAGCCCAGGAGATGATTGAGCTGACTCAAGGGGGTGGCCTGACACGAAGTCGGAAATGTCCCACACCATCTGAGAATTCTGGCCCTTCCATGACAAGCTGTCTATCTATGACAGAATAATCTATAAGGGCATGAGAATTGGAGTGCCACCCTCAGTAATGATAACCATGTGAAAGCAGATATATGCCTCGCACCTGGGGACAGTAACGTGCAAGTTACAGGCCAGAGAAGCTCTGTTTTGGCCCGGGATGATGGCCCAGAGAGAGGCCGGTGTCAGCGATTGCCCAGAGTGCACTGAGTTCCACTGAGCAGCAGCATGAAACACCATGACCGACAAAGACACTTGATCTGCCATAGTTGAAAGTAGCAACATACCTTTTTGAGTGGGACGGCCAGCATGACCTCGTAACCATCAACTACTGTTCAAAGTTCATAGAGGTGGACCACCGAGACAGCCTCACGTCAACTGCCACCATCAATGCTCTGAAAGTCGAATTGAACAGCCAAAAAGTCTGCTAAGTCTGTGACATAGCAGACTTGCGCCACAGGCCTGACTGTGCAAAAGAAAAATGGAGAATGCATCATGACCAGAGGAGCGGGAAGGATTTGCAGGTTCTCCTCCATGGCACCGTTGCCCAGAGACAAGCGTTGGATGCAGGCAACCGTGGTAGGACACCATGAGTCTCTAAGGTCCTGCATTGTGGAACATGAACAAAACTTCCGCCAAAATAGACGGGACCTGTGACTATCCACGTACAAGGCTGACTGGTCCTCTACTGCGCCACTGGCCCTCAACTGCACCACTAGCCCTCGGGTAGCCTCAACCCAAGTGATCCACGAGTGGTGATGGCACTCGGCAGCACACCTGCACCAACCCTGCCAGTTGAACACCAGACCCCGGTTAAGGACACTCGACCTGTTGGAAGCCCAGGCGGGTGTTTACCACGATGGCCGTCCTGTGAGACAGGTCCCAATGGTCAGCAGGTATCCAGCCCGTCAGCAGAGGTGATACCAGCAGAATTGCCTCGGCCCCCAAACCAACGAGGCTCCCATGACCAAGGACAAGAGCTGGACGGCCAGTGAACAGGCCTCGCCACCTCAGGCACAACGTACTTTGATACGTATGGGGGACAAAATAATCCCCCCTTTTAAGGTACCAGCGGCATTACAGCGTAGTCCACCCCTATTCTTCCACACTGACATTCACGTGTTGCTTACAGCACACACTCACACTCCCTCAAGAACTGGAATACAGTTTTAAATGTAAAGTAAAATTTCATAAATGGAAGCAATACAATGGCATTTCCTCGTTAAAACTCGGTTACTTAGGGGTGCAATGTTTAAAGTAGTTTGTTGGTAATTCTTGAAATGTAACTGTGTTGTTCATTACGATTACGTTGTCTTGTAAGAAAATAGAGATGTATAACGTATGCCATGTGATGATGTGACGATGAGGGAGCAGAGCCAGAGGAGAGAGCGGGAGAGCAGAGGTGTGAAAAGAAAAGATCGGTGCCAATGACACGTGGTGTGTGCTTTTATAGCTCAAGCTAAGACACCATCCATTGCAGCTAGGTGAGGTACTTTTACAGTTGAATGAGTAGTGACTGAGCTGGAAAGGAATTCCACCCCCCGGACGCAAGCATGTCAGGTGTGTTAATGGGGGAGATTAGGGAGAGAGGGATTAGGGAGGGAGATTAGCATGAATGAGCTTCCGTCACCGAAATAGATTTTTCTAAGACGGAGGTACTCTGCAAACCTACCAGCTACCTTCAGAGATTTGTTCATGAAGCCATCCAGAAATATAAACAGACACAACTTCAACCGAGAGGATGGGTACAAACTGAACAATCATTGGAAGGACGTTATTAACCAGGTAAAGTCTTAACTGACTGTGATGTTTCCATCCTACCTGCCTATGTCAGCTGTTATTTCCGACTCTCTGTATCTCTCTCTCTGTGCCTCTCTCTTAGATCTCTCACATGTCCTTTGGATTGCACTCTCATGCTCACATGTCCTTTGGATTGCCTCTCATGCTCACATGTCCATTGGATTGCACTCTCATGCTCACATGTCCTTTGGATTACACTCTCATGCTCACATGTCCTTTGGATTGCCTCTCATGGTGCTAATCTCTCATTAACACTGCTGTTGTGCGCATATGCGGGCATGATACTCTTATGCGGCGACGGAAGCTCATTCATGCTAATCTCCCTCCCTAATCCCTCTCTCCCTAATCTCCCCCATTAACACAACTGACGTACTTGCTTGCGGGGGTGGAATTCCTTTCCAGCTCAGACCCCGCTTGTTTGCCCATCGCCACATATATAACGTCTTGTTGTAACTGCTCTCTCGCTAGTTCAGCAGTTCCTCTACTGGATTATATTTTTTCCGCCTGAGAACGACCGCTTGTGTTGCGATCGAAACGTCGTAATTAATTTTATTTTATACCTACGTGACTTTACCGAAATAACCAAAGAGTATGGATTCCTACAGTCACGAAAGCTTCAAATCAAGATTGAGTAGCGACTGTGTTGTGATGGAACGGACGTTGGTTATCGCTGATGTTGCAATGAAGCAAATTGACACCAACTGCAGACCACCCCGGATTCTCTGCAAACTGTTGCTACCTCTGGAACGCCACAAGATGCTCGAAGAGGCAACGGTCAACATATT